TGTGTGTGTGTGTGTGTGTGTGTGTGTGTGTGTGTGTGTGTGTGTGTAAGTAACACTTCATTTATTTATTACTGTACGTAATATATATATACATATAATATATATACATATATATAAATATATATGTATATATATAAATATATACATATATATTGTTTAAATGGACACAAAATTATGGTTATAGGCAACGATATTTAAATTTAAGTTTAATATCCTCTTAGTCAAATTACACATAATATTCATTCGTTAGGCAGATTCCCTTGTGAATAATATTTTAGGAACTTTAATGACTGCATATATATAAAGGGTGTTAAAAGATATAAACAATGGTTGCTTTTTATAAATAAACACATATCGTTCACTATATTTAGTTAATAATAGATACCTTTTTTTATTACAAACCGACTTCAAAATCTATTTGTCAAGTTTTATTGGCATCTGTTAGCGGAGAGTGGATGAAATCCAATAAACCGAGTTCATCCCTTAATTTTCGATCCTTAGTGGGAATATTAGGTGGTATATTATCTTCAAATTTAAATAGGACCATTCAATAGTGGTCACAGAATTGAATAGAGATAGTAATCTCTCTTTCCAACAAAAACATAATCATCAAAATCGGTTCACCAATACCAGAGTAATCGCGTAACATACACACACAAAGAAATACAGCCGAATTGAGAACCTCGTCTTTTTTAAGGCGGTTAAAAATAACTCTAGCAATGCCTCGAATCAGAACTTTCCCAACTTCTTTCTTTCAACTTACGAACATTAAGTTATAAAAATAAAATGCATTCATAATTAATCTACAGTAGCTATTATGGACACATTGCATATTTTGTTATGGGAAATTGCAAATGTTTTGGCAAATACAATGAAAACACAGCTGTCTAAAACAATCCCAACAAGATCCCATCGACAAGATGTGTTTCTTTTACATTCAGACGTCTACGAACTATTTACGCTGACTTAGTATAACATTACATTGTATATTTCGTTTGTTTTCCATTTGTTTATTGCAGTAGAGCTCTTGTGAGCTCGTCCAGGGAAGTACTGCCACTTTACCTATTTCTGCTGCCAAGCAGTAGTGTGAGCATTATTGCGCTCCGGTTTCGAAGGGTAAGGGTGCTGATGAAATTGTCAACTTATGTCTCAGGGTGTCGGGCGCAGTGGCAGTGCCGCTCAGGTCTTTGTGATTTAAAGCTCTGAGTGGTACAGCAACTGTTATGGACAGGCGTGTCGCTTCAGACGCACGCCTTGTTCGTCCCGTCATTTAATTATTATAAAAAATCATCACAATACGAAACTACAACTAGGTGTTAGTTATTGAATGTTAAGCGTATCTGTAATTGGATTGTCTGTCGGAATTTGTTCTTTTTTAGGTTTAAGTTGTTTGAATGTTTTAATACACATGCTATTGATATGCCCCATGAAAATAAATAAATAAATACAACGGACATTTGAACTAAAAACCGAAATTGTTTGACAAATGCATAATTATATTATTTACGAGTATGTTTTTGCTTTTCTTGTTCATACCGTTCTTCAACAAAGGTTGCCTTCTCAGAAGTCTAAAGCTGTGGCACACTGATGGTACCAGGTAAGCATCACGATTTGATGACTTTTGTGGCCCACTGATTTGGTTTCTGGAAGCGCCAAATTGGGACCTTTTCTAAATTAGTCTGAGCGTGGTCTGATACTCATAATAAAGGGAATTCCCAAACTTGAGACCTGGTAGTTGTTGTGGTATCACCAGTTTATTATAATTCCCGTAGATCTCGTAAGCGTTCTGTAAGGACGAATGAAAGGTATTAATCTTTAAACAAGTACTAAACATTCACAAATAATAAATAATTTAATATAATAATAATATTTGTGAGAGACGGGGGTTTGAACTAAGGAAAGCCCTGTATAACACACACTCAACATAAATAAGTGTTACTCAACATAATTTATAGCTTTATATATATTAATATTAATGTGTGTGTTTACTAAATCCGATTTTGTTACTAGTTTGTTTATTTCTAATCTATTCGCCAATAAGTATAGTAGGAAACCTGCATTTTTATGTATGTTTTTATTCCTGTTTAGAAGCACACACACACACACACACACACACACACACACACA